TTATGTTATAGGTAATAACAGCAGAATTTGTTTAGGGTTTTGAGGCTGTATCACATTCAAGAGGAAGCGAAGCCGGGTATACTGAGAAGCTCATTGATGACATTGTCGTCTTTCCAAACCTGATTACCCATAACGTGACAGATTCGCTTCTTTTTCGCTACATTTGTTATTTCGCTTTTCTGTATTTAAATAATTAAGAAAATTAGTTTTTAAAACGTTTGGTAGACCCTTAAAGTATAGTGGGCTACACGCACTTGCGTCATTGCGTGATAGGAGACTCGACACGAATGTTGTGATAAAGTTTTTAGGTTAGACACTATTTTTCGAAAGCCCACAAGGCGTTTTGAACGTTTTTTTTACGTGGTCCTATGCATATTAGAATATTATACGTAAATAAAATATCTCCTATGGCTCCTATAGTAGTTGAATTGATGCATTAGAAAATGGTTTATTGAAAAAGTGTCTCGTGCAGAGCTTTTCCGCTTTCATGCTGAAAACAATGCAGAGATCGCTTAATTAAGATAAATAGTTTACCTGTCTGGTACATATATCACAAAGTTCTGCTAACGTGGCACGTACATACGTTAAATTTTATTGTTTTTATGGTAAATGGTGCAGTTAAAACCTAATGAGGTGCATTACGCGCGAGGATACTTCATGTGTAATAGATTGCAAAGATGCAAATGCAAGCACACATGCACGAATATGTGTCGGTAACAGCTTCCCAAGCGATCTCGCTCATTACTTACTTCATCCCCCACTTGACTAACTTTGCGAATTATTTATACCGAAAAACAATTAGGGTGCGATAAAGTACGATATCAATGTAAGCACATGTCGCATTTAATTACAAATCTAATCCCCTAAACACACTAATCGCAAACGTAATTTATTTCCCAATTAAATGTTATTTATTGAATGTTTCCTATTATTCTAAATATCTAACTGCCCATTTTAATCAAATAAGTAATTACAAAATTGTAATGAGTTATTCCGGACACTATTAATGGATACAGAATATTCAAAATTAATCATGAGTTCATCAATTGAGATATTTACTAAACAGAAGTTACACAAAAGCGTTATATTGTAATGTAATAAATGTGTACTATGTGTTCAATTTATTGGGTGGAGTGAAGAATGTAGTTTTAATTTACGCTATTCATTACAGTTGATTAAAAATTTGCACTTCTCAACCAAGAAAGAAGAAAAGATGAATTTCAATAAGTCATATTTTCGAAAGATTTGGTGCTGATTTTCGACGTCCAGAAGCGCTGCTCACATTATTAGAAAATACAGTAAACGTTTAAAAGGTGTCATCAAATAAATCAATATTAAAAACTTTTGTTATGATCTCTCCTCGTACACTTCCGGAAAAATCCCAAATACAAAATGTTCCCTTACCTTGAATAAACTCGGTCGCTGTAGAGGGCACTCCTGTACCGAGTCCGAACCTGTAACAAACAAAATCCAGGAACCTAACCTCGGTGGTACCGTAGTTAACTAATGCCTGAAGGACCAACGCATATTACTTGTGGCCGTAAGTCCAAGATCGAAAACATATGCACTATACTGCATTCATTATAAGAAGGTAGTAGATGGCGCTGTGTTAGAAGATAAGCACACACAGGAGAAGTATAAAACGGCACTAAATTATTGTAAAGTGGAAAAATCTAGCACCGCAAACAGAAATAAATCTTTGGCATTAACAGCTAATGACACTTCAACAGTTTAGTTGGCAACAGAAACTACCAGCTTGAAAAATTCGCCACTCGCTTTATGTTTCAGTGTAATACTGACTCGTGTTTTAACCAATCACAGGTCAAAGCTTTCCTGTGCTTTCTTAAAATGAATACAGTATAGGCGTAGCAATCAAAAGGTACCCGCTACCGGCAGAAAACATCAATGCAACTACCGCGTTCAAGTCGATCATGCATCCGTGGGAATTATGGTAAATTACTGACCAAGTTACAATGCAAATTTATCCCTTTGAGGTATTTAACGATACGCTTTAACACGCAGTAGTAACGGAAGTTGTTCCATATGAGGGCCGATCCTCGCTGTTAGTATCCCCTTCGTGACCTGATGACCTATTTCTGATACTGGTTTCACACAAAAAGGGCCGCTTGCTATTAGCAGATGTGGGGATGAGCGAAGGGCGGCCGCAACCGCAGGTAAGAGTGAGTTTAACCCAAGGTTACAAGACTTGTACATTGAACAAGAATTGGTATGTAATGTAAAACGTGTCTGGAACTTGAACCCTAAAAGAAATCAAAGGTAATTCTCCTTTTATTTGGTAACAATTTTGGTTATTTAAACTTCTTTGTTATTTGATAACAATTTTAAATTCCTCATTATTACATAACTAAATATGACCTACAAAAATTAAATTGGACCGTAGAAGGTGGGAAACGATTAAACTTAAGTACACATATGTAAGGCGAGGGATTGAGAAGTAACAGAAGGTAATTGCTATTTCTAAGCAAATGTATCTGAAAGAAGTTCCATTCTACCCGACAGATATGTATGAAAGTTTCAAACTTTTTTCTACATCGTTGAAAGTTATATTCAGAAAATCTAAACTTTCGAACTATAACACATCAATCAGGGCTTACCCGCCCGATACTTCTAGATATCGTACGGATATATACCTGCTAAGAATAGTTTTCTTCATCGAACTTTGTAGTGTTAGTAGTGGAAATGGAAGTTTTAAACTTTCCGTAAGATCAAAGACAAATACCTACTCATGCACTCTTCCTTCGTAGAATATGTGTGCTGAATGCAACCTTTGCACATTGCTTTGAAGGTGTAAAGTAATTTAATGGAAGTTAGTGTTGCATCGTTGCATTGCGGTAGAACTTTATCGGTGTCAACGGATACGAACTAATTTGGATGAATTTAGAAATAAATTCATGAACGTCCTCGAGTACGAGATTGTGTCAATCCAGAAGTTTTAGAATTCCAGTGTAAACGTGCACAAAATAAAGTAGCGTACCGATGGACAGACGAATGGAAAAGTGAATTTGGCAATTCATCCCAAGAGAGAGTCTTGGGTTTTACATCGCGAAATTGTAAACTACATTCTACGTTATAACCATCTAAGAATTTTGCATTGAGTATCAGATTTTCGACAGGACAGCGAATACACCCCTATGGGAGAATAAAATTTCTTGCTGATGTTCGCCCTTTTTTATATCCACCTTTTATACTTAAAACTCCTTTACCAGGATTTGGGGTTACGCTTTCCTAAAGGTAGATGCGAGAATAATACAGTGATAAATATTGCAGAAAAAATCCACAAGGGATCTTACGAAAAACATTAAAAGCTCCTCAAAAACGTGTTAACAATAATCGTCCTTACGAGAATTTAAAAGGTGGTTCTTCAAAATAATATTACCCACTCTTACTGCCATTTTATCCCGCACGCCAATCGTGGAATTATCAATAATGGCTTCCTAAATCAGAAAGCAGGACATTCCCTCCAACCTCCGGTAATCCTAATGCACATTGAAGGTCGTGCTTAAATCTTGTAAAGCATTTTCCATTGTACCCAGCATATGCTATGAATTTATTGTTTAATTCAGTTAAATTTAGTTTATAGCTGCGTTCCAGTATTAAATATAAAATTAAATAATCTTATTGTAGTTCTTGTCTGTAGCACACTTTTACGACGATAGTTTCATATGATAGAATTAAATAGACGCACTAACGAGAAGATGATATCTCTCATACCTCGACAAAAATATGGGGTGTAAGAAAAGTTATGTATTTCAGCTGTAATATCGAAATGATTCGAGGGGTTGAAATTCAGCGCTCACAACACACGATTACTTTGCAACAGATGATATTTCTAACAAGTAATTATGCTTAAAATACCTAATCTAATAGCAACTTAACACATGAGAATCATCTCGCATATGAAACTGTCGCGGCGCACAGATTTTATGTTGTTTCAAATATTTTCGAAGAATCACGTTATTTACACCCCATCTTCTGTACCTATATCTTGTAAAATGACTATACGCCTTATCAAAGAAGGAACTTTTAAGTTAATAATGGCTGTCTTTTATAGTTCTTTTGAAGGGAAGTTGCGGCCCTCGGAAACCTTTTTTTTTTTCAACATGAATTTTACGTAAACGGGGAAGTTACAAACATTTCCCGAACATTTAACTTGTCTATTTCGAGCTATCTTTACGTCTACCTACCACTGACATACACAATAATAAAATAAGAACAGATAAACGACATAATTAAATTAATGGTATAATTGCCTACGTGCAGTTAATTAGAAATTAAATTTAATTACCCCTTTTATATGGCGTGCAATACTTCAAGAGAGCAATCAAGTATAAAGCAAACAGCAAATCTAATAAATTAGGCCAAGTAAAATTTTCAATAAAATCAAACGGTTTATTCGAAAGTTCTTTATGAACGAAACCAATTTAGTCTAAGAAAAGAAAAAGCTTTCAAGTAAACAGAACGATTTAAAGTTGATTAAACAATGTTATATGTACTTTCTAAATTATAAGAATCGATAAGTTCTTTTGAAAGTTACGATATAAATTTGAAGACTAACAAACCCTTACAGAACACCACGACGCGAGAATTCTAAAACCATGTCGTCAATCCTCATTTCTTGAAAATACGAGTAAGTAGATGAACCATAGCTTTCATCAGGCGAAGTGACGTTACGTATGCACATTAAAAATTTAAATTCAATGTACGGATTATTTGGTTATGACTAAACCCAACTACACCGACAAAGAATATATTCCTGAAAACCTGTACCAAAAAGCATTGACACTTAATGCGACAATTTAAAATTTAAATTGGGCAGTTTTCAATTAAAGCGCGGTTTTCTGTTCAAACTTTGTTCGCGATTGTAATAAATTAACGAAAACTTTAACTGGGATAAGTGGTTATGTTTAATAGCGCCAGTATTTTATAGGTTCAGCCTGTTTGCTCGTGAAACTTTTTTTAACGCTTTATCTCTTTTACAGAGCCTATAACAACACTGCTAGGAGGTCCAGAAATGTACATCAATAAGGGAAGCACAATGAATTTAACGTGTATAGTTAAACACAGCCCTGAACCGCCACCTACTATATCATGGACACATAATTCAGAAGTACGTATATACATAAGCATATTATTGTCTAACTTTGGGTATTAATGCACGTAATTATAACGATTGTCTTGTTTGTATCTTACAGTTTGAGCAAATAGCAGACTGTGTAAAATGATTTCTGATTCGATGCAATGAAAAATAATTGGTATTAATAAAAGTTCCATTATTAACTGCAGCCTGCAGGCAATGCAGTACTGAGCACAGTAATAATAGACTAACATTTCTGAAATCTCTGTTTACCAAGATTTTAACCCTTGGCAATTTTCACTGTTCCACATCACATCTTAAACAGGTCCGTGAAGTTGGCAATGCCCATTTCACCAAACTTAAAATTGTTGTAACTATATTTTTGTGCTAATTTTGTGCTATTTATTGCTGATAAACAAAAATTTTGTGCTTTTGAATTTACCGAGTTATTCGAAAAAACAGATGGGTACGGCCAACTTCACTAAGCGATACCCATGTTATAATTTCGAAAAACTTATACTAATTAAATTTGTGCTAATTTTGTGCTATTTATTGCCGGTAAACCAAAATTTTGTGCTTTGGAATTTACCGAGTTATTCGAAAAAACAGATGGGTACGGCCAACTTCACTAAGCGATACCCATGTAATAATTTCGAAAAACTTATACTAATTAATTTTGTGCTAATTTTGTGCTATTTATTGCTGATAAACAAAAGTTTTGTGCTTTTGAATTTACCGAGTTATTCGAAAAAACAGATGGGTACGGCCAACTTCACTAAGCCATACCCATGTAACAATTTCGAAAAACTTATACTAATTAATTTTGTGCTATTTATTGCCGATAAACAAAAATTTTGTGCTTTTGTTTACCGAGTTATTCGAAAAAACAGATAGGTACGGCCAACTTCACTAAGCGATACCCATGTAATAATTTCGAAAAACTTATACTAATTAATTTTGTGCTAATTTTGTGCTATTTATTGCTGATAAACAAAAGTTTTGTGCTTTTGAATTTACCGAGTTATTCGAAAAAACAGATGGGTACGGCCAACTTCACTAAGCCATACCCATGTAACAATTTCGAAAAACTTATACTAATTAATTTTGTGCTATTTATTGCCGATAAACAAAAATTTTGTGCTTTTGTTTACCGAGTTATTCGAAAAAACAGATAGGTACGGCCAACTTTACTTAGTAATGATTTGGTTATTTATTGGCGATTATTACATAATGTTCTGCTATAATCTTGGTTATAATACTGAGTGAGCAACTATTACTTGTATAATCAAGACAGTACGAACTACTAGCCGCATGCTGCCATAACCAACGATTTGTTTTGGTTTGTGGTACCACATTATTTAGTAGTAGAGTAGTTACATCTTCTTTAAAAAAAGATTTTTGGTTCCAAAAAAGTGGTGATAACGGATACAGATTCTATGCGACGACAGAAAAAAATACACAAAGAAACTGTAGTAAACGTTCAGGTGACAGCATATCCTAATCGAAAGTGTTTGTTGACAAGCTCATACAGATTAGATCTTTTATATGTGTACTACATCGTCATAGCTGTTTTTTCAACAACTTTACTATTCAACACTACGTCGATGTCATTATTAACGTCAGGTCTTTATGTAGCAGTGTTTTGGGACTAAGCAACATTTTTAACCCATAGTTATATTGCAACAAATCTTAAGAGCATAAATGAAAATTCGGATACAAGCTGAATATGGGGATTTATTATCCACATCTGGTACATTTTGTATGCAAAATCGTATTAATTTTCAGGAGTACTTATTGTTTTTTTTTTAATGATTTTTACGAAAGCAAAAATGCCCATGCCTGGTGTAGATGCATAGCGGTGTTGTATGCCATGGTTAAATAGGAAAAAGGGTTGAATGGTGACTTATTTTAAAGGTTCTGCAAAAACCACATACGTGTCCTTTTTGTTGGCATTTTTAGAAAAAGTATTACGGAGTACGTATAACATAAAAATGGATAAAAGCACTTTTCTTGAATTATAATTCAGAATACCTCACAGTATCCCTTGAGAAGTGCCAGAAAAAGATGAAAAGAAATATGGATTCTTCGAAAATTCATGAAAAATAATGAAGGCGAGGAAAAAGGTAAATTGGAAAATTGTGATGATGCAATGTCCTTTTACATTTGTAAAAAGGGATAGAAAAACAAAGTGGGATCTCTTGTCAGCAAGCAAATTGATTTATGGCTGCGATAGAATGCTGGCTCTAAAGCTTACCGCTGTGCCAAAGGATATGATAGTGATAGTACCACTGACTCAGTCTCAGACTCAGTTATTCGACTGAGGATGAGGAAGTAGTAGGAAGTATACTCAAGGATTGAAAACATAATCCAGGAAGAATGTAATGAAATAGAAAAGTTTGATATGAAAGGAAGGCACGATATTGTTTACAACATGATGAAAGAGGTTACCTGGGATAGATCATCAAGACCTGGTATAGCAATGAGGTGGAAGAAAGGAATTTAAAAGTAATGAAAGAAGAGAAAGAAATTCTAAATGAATGGAACGAGTACATGATAGATCTCTAAAAACTAATGAAAATCCAAGCCAAACTGGAACTGGAAACAGAAGAATCAGCCTGCCCTGACAATACAGGGGTCAGCTTTATGTTCACCGAAATGAGAAGAGCAATGAAAGAGCAAATCAGATAAAGCTACGGGAATAGACGGAACTCCATTAGAGATATTAAGGTGTCTTCAAAAAGAAGGGATGAAGGAATTAACATCTGTAGCATGTAATGATATATGGATCGGGGGAATGGTCTGAAGATTTGCTGAAAACTCTGATACCTCTGACTGAAAAGAAAGGAACAAATAAGTGTGGTGAACATAGACCAATCAGCCTGGTATGACATGCAGCAAAAATATGGTTGAGACTGTTAAATAGAA